TAAATGTTAGCTGAATTCTACTCACATTGTGGAGTACTACTCAATAAACAGGGGTGTCTTGAGAGCCAGGAGATCACTCATGCCTACCAGGTGGGAGGTCCTGAGTTTAGTCCCCAGCACTGGATGGCTCCTCAGGTCCTCTGGGGTGGCCCTGATGACACCCCCCCCAGCCAAGTACCAGTGCTGGCCTGAGCACCACAGCATCAGGTACTCCATCACTGGCCCACCATCACAAGCGGCACACCCACTTTCACCACCACTGTTGGGGGGACCCCCATTTAAGAAAAACAAAAAAAAATCTACTGATAATTTTAGTTTACTATGAATAAATAATTGTCTCTATAAAAAAGATTTTGATGTTGTGTTTACTTGTGATTCTATTTGACCTGTTCTCCTTACCTTCTGCTGTGATGACCTGTCTACCTGACTGTAGTCTTCACACACTTAAGTTTTGTGCTCACTGGGGCCACACACTTTGTACCTTGCTTAGACAATCTTGGTTATGTTTTATGGGATATCACACACCTTGCTATGCTCCCAGACACCCAAACAACAGTGCCTCAAGGATCCCAGGGCATATCAGTTGGTGCTGGGCAGCAAATCTGCAACTTCACCAACCGAGGCTTGCGAGGCAGGTGCTTTGCCATTCAGCTCTTTCTAGGTTGGAATAAAAGTTGGGGGTTATTGTAAGGGAAAATATGCAAACCAGGAAATGCATTATTTTCAAAAATACATTCTCTAAGTTTTTGTTGTTGTTTTCTATCATGCCAAATTTCCCAAATTAATAGAGAGCCTCGTTCGTTGGCTAAACCAGAGTATTTATATTCAGGAAAGAATTTGTTTTGTTTGTGCTTTTCTTTAATAGCATAGTAAATAATGCCATGAGTTGTAAACTTGGCTATGTCTTAAATAACTAATTTATAACTGCTAATGGGTATCAAAGGGTCAAGGACACCAAAATCAAGATTTAATCAAAAACCTCATTGAACACATTAGTTGCAACCTCATTATTGACCTCAAAAGCACGTACTTTTGTGGCAGCTGTCAATAAGGAAACAAAATGTGACTAATTTCCTTCTTTGTCTATTAAAATAAGGAATTAATTAATATAAATATATCCCAATTTTATAGCCTAGCAGCCTCCATAATACACACTTTATAAACTCTGTGTTGGATAATTGGACCATTGATTATTCCTGGAACATAAATTAAGCTCTCCAACTTAATCTTATTTAGACATGAAAATCATAAAATAAAGGAGATTTCTAAATTACTTTTCATTTTTTTATTTTAAATTATCTCTTATGGCAAATCCTTTATCTTGAAAATATTTGTTTGTTAATATATGCTAACAGATATTAGCTAGAATTATTGTGGCCATCATTTTACAATAGATACAAATATGAATCATTAAGCTGTACACCTGAAACTAATACAATGTCATATATCAACTATACTGCAATTACAAATAATATTTGTTAAATGTTAGACTCTGCCATTCCTTAATTACTAATAACACCCACATCCTACTGTCTCATTCTATTGTCATAAGTTGCTAATAAAGTCAAAATAGTATAGGAATATTTCAAAGGAGACTACTGGAATTCTTATTTCATTTAAGTGAGTGGGAGAGAATCTTAGTGACAAAACTTCTTCTATAGAGCATAAATGCATGTTTACAGATCCTTATCTTCAATTCTGAAATCCTCCAGCTTTGTAGAAAGTGAAAATTTTGCGTAATTCGGAGGATAAATTGCACCAGAAGAAAACAGGAGCTTTTTTTCTAGCCTCTATGTGACTCTACAGTGTAATTAGCCTACCTTTATTACAGACAAGCATACAGTTAATTCAGTATGCTAACTTTGCGGGTAGCATACAATATACAGTTCATGTTTGGCATTCCTCTTCCAAAATCCCCAAATCCCTGGATTTGGAGTAAACCAAGGGTTTGATAGAGAGTTTATGGGCCTTCCTTAGAAAGTACACAGTAGGTGCTCAGGTAGCATTGAAAATCAGAGTTCACGTACCTGGCAAGTTAGCTTGAACACAGAAAGTGGAATTTGGGAAGTAGCAGGTTGGTGCTATGCTAAAGTTTGTTTCATTGATAAGGAAATGCATAGTAGTCAAGGGGGTTGGGAAAGGGGAGTTGAGCAACGTTCCCAGAGTTACCTAGCTATAACTACAACCTAGGCTGTCTATTTCAGAAGTCATACTTTAATTTTGTTTCATTTTCTTTTTCCTCATTGGTAATTTCCCCCTCCTTTTTTTTTCTTTTAAAAGTGCTAGTCTAGTTTAGGTTATATGGCTACAGTAGTGTAAGTCTTCCATCATGAAAAGTACTAGGAGTTTAGATTTTGTTTGGAAAATCCAAACACTTGAAATTGCATAATACTGGGAACAAAATGAGAAATTCCAAAGAGAAAGGGATGGAGAAGTCATCACACAAAGGAAATTAGAATAACATGGAATTTTTCTACAAAAAACATCTAGAAGACATTATAAATGAGATCTTTGTATTTCCGAGATATAATTTCAGCTAAGAGCTCTCAACTTAGACTGTAGCACAAAGTTATATTCAGGCATGTAAGGTCTTGTAACACTTGTTTCCCTAAGCACTTTGTAAAGAAGCCATTCAGGATTGTGATTCAGTAAATGACAATTTTATGAGAAACAGCAATAATGGGATCTGGAAACCATCAGACTGGTCTAGAAAAAAATGACACTCTAGAGTGATTGTCTATTAAGTTGGCATTCAGGAAGATGGAAATGATCACAAGGACAAAATATAACTTCAAATGACTTACTATGATGGGTGGAAAAGTTGAGGTGCTTATGTATGTGATTTCTAAGAATTTGGTGGGGGATAGTAATTGGTATACAAAAAAATGGAAACTCATGGATATTTCTTTAAAATATGAGTGTTCTGGACAAGAACTGGGTGCTGAAAGTAGATGAAGGGACAAACATGATAACCTCAGTACCTGTATTGCTAACTATAACGTCAAAAAAGAAGAAGAGAAGGAAGAAAAATGCCTGCCATAGAGGCAGGCTGTGGTGGAGGAGGGGATGGAGGGGAAACTGGGAACATTGGTGGTGGGTGAGAAATGTGCACTGGTGAAGGGACAGGTCATGGAACATTGTGTGACCGAAACCCAGTAATGAACAACTTTGCAACTGTGTGTTTCACAGTGATAAACTTTTTTAAAAAGTATTAAGAGACATGAACTGAAAGGGAACCACAGTGCTTCGCTTGAATCAGCAGGAAGCAGTGACATAGTAACATGATGGTGGTCACTGACATAACCAAAGATAGTTTACTTGAAAATAAATTACATTTGCAAGTTCCTTTGGGAACTAAGAGATTAAAAAGTAAAACATTAATTTTGAAAAAGTAGGCTAATATATAATATTATTGAAAAATGTATTAAAATTCTAGCAAAAATTGCCAGAAAAATTAAAAAGAGTCAGCTCTGGAGAATATATAAATCAAAAATTGAAAATGTTCCTTGCTTTCCCATACTTGCAAGATATTCATGCATATGTTGAAAAATTGAGATATGAAGGTAGCTTTAGGTCTATAATCTTTGTCATGATGGTTATTTGTTAATACTTACCTTTTTATTATAATACATATTTACATATGTAAACATATACATACATAGGACATATATATGTATATGTGTGTGTGCATGTGTACATCCATACACACACGGACACACACACACACACACACACACATTTGGTTTTGATGCAAACCCAGTCTAGCTCAGGGATCATTCCTCATGGTGCTTGGAGACCACCTGTGATGTCAGGGATTTAAGCTGGGTATGCTGTGTGCAAGGCAATTCCTTATCCCTTGTACTATCTTTCCAAGCTATAATACTGTGGTTGGGTCACACCTTGTGGTGCTTAGAGCTCACTCCTGGCTTTGCGCTCAGGGATATGTCCTGTCAGGGCTCGGAGACCTTTTATGTGGTGCCAGAGATCAAACCCTATTTGGCCATATGCAAGGCAAATGACCTACCTGCTTGTACTATTGTGGGTACATCAATTCATTCATACCTCTCACCTTTGTAAATGATTGTGTACAATTCACTTTCTCTGGTGTGTTATGCTTTTTATAAAACATAGGGTATTTTGATAGTTTGCTGTTAGCAACAAACATGTTGATGTTCTCATTATTTCATTATATGTGTAAACTTTTGCTATAGTTTCTTAGGTCACATCATAAGAAATCATTCTGTGAGGTGAAAATTTACATTTCTGTAAATAATCTTCATTTTCCTTCCAAAATATTGAGAAAATACTCTTACGTATCATATTATCTACAATTAATAATAATGCTTATGTCTTCATGCATTTTTTCTTGTAGTAATTTGTTGCATAACATAAAAGTTTCTAAAGAAAAATATATCCATTACAGAAAATAGAGGTCTCATTTACATTTTTCCTGAGTTCAATCAGAACATTTATTTTCATAATTGTTCTCTGGCTAATTAAAATATAATTTGTGGGTGTTTGTTTTGTTAAAAAATCTTTTTTCTACTTAATGAAAAGTTTTCATCAAGAAAAAATGTTAAGCCTTAATACTTGAGCATTTTTCAAGTAAATTTTATTAAATACATATACTCTATGGATGATATATAAATTATTTGCTGTTCAAGAGTACAGCAGAATGTTTTTTTAATTATTATTTTAGAGAGCATAGCTTAAAAAAATTGTGCTCTACATAAATATATGAATTTTTAAACCAGAGTCTAAGTGATGGATTAATTCTGCTGGAAGAGGGGGAATTCCCTAAAGACATATTTTTTTCCCATCCACTAAAATGCACAAGACTATTTACTTGACCAATTTGGAGAGTTATCTTTTTCTGATATTACCTTAAAAACAATTATCCTGGAACACTTATCTTCTCTCTAGTCATGGAGTTGTATTTAAAAGGCTTAAGAATCCTTCTGTGCCATTTTAATAAAGTTACTTCTATTGTTTCTTCACAGGGGCACAGCAATTGCTGGCATCGTGTTTGGAATTGTGTTCATCATGGGAGTCATTGCTGGAATTGCCATCTGTATCTGCATGTGCATGAAGAACAACCGGGGGACTCGGGTGGGCGTCATCAGGACTACCCACATCAACGCTATCTCCTCATACCCTGGTAAGCATGAGGGCTGACTCCTGATTGGCTAAGTTATACTCTCTTTGGAGAGAGGTAATAGTAAAGATTCTCTCTGGAATAATCTCCACATCTTGAAGGCATGTCTTTGCTAATGTGGATCAAAGCTCATCTGAGTGAAAATTTAAGTAATAATTCCACCTCAGATGGGAAGATATTCATATTTTCAGTAGTTGTCTCATGGGTTTCAGTGTCACCTGAGTAGTAACTCATAGTTGTTACTCAACCAGAGGAATAAGAAATAGACAACTCAAACCTGTTATATCTCTCTGTCACTAAATTCTGACAAATTATTCTAGAAAAAAAATCCGTATCTGCCAAATGAGGACTGATCAATATTATATCAAGATGAACATTGTAGACAATTTAGGTAGTTTCTCTTTAAGTATATAAAATAGTTTTAATATAGTATGAAAATTCTCAACATATAGGGAAGAAATTTAATAATACCTTACAAACACTTTAGAATTTGCTAAAAGTTTTCCCTGTATACTGAACACTTATGACTCTGATAATAAAATATCATATCTCTCATGAGATGATTTCAACAATGCTTTCTTTTTCTTGAATTTCAGATTAGGTTGGCCCCTCTGCCTATTGGGCACCTCCAATTGGATGCCTATTACACAGCTCAAATGTAACATGTCTAAAGCTACATATACCCCTGATTCGTCCTTCAAATCTGCTTCCATTCATATCTCAATTGGCAGCATTTCTAACTTTCCTACAACTCAGGTGAAAATCCTTGGAGACATTCTTGACAACTCTTTCCCTCAAATCTGATCCAGTCCAGCAGGAAAATGCTTCAGTTCCATCTTCCAGACATACATAGTTTCAGAGTTGCCACATCCCCTTTCCTGAGGAGATCCGCCACCAACGCTCACCTCCATTCCTTGGTTATAGTCCTCGGTGTTGCTCCAGCTCCCACTCTTGACTCTCTGAGATCAATTTATTTTCACATAACATTTTATTCTATTTTTTAAATTTTACTTTTAATTTTAATGAATCACCATGAGATACAGTTACAGACTCACAAACTTGCATGATGACATTTTGGTCACACAATGTTCGAATCAACCCATCCCTCTACCCATTCCCATTCTCCATCACCAATATTTTTCCAGTATCCCTCACTCCATCCCCCACCCCTACCCCCGCCTCCGTGACAGGCACATTCCCTTTCACTCTTTCTCTCTTTCTGGATGTTATGGTTCGCAATACAGGTACTAAACAGTCATCATGTTTGGTCCGTAGTCTACTTTCAGCATGCATCTACCATCCCATCCAAGATCTACTCTTAATGTTACCACCAAATTGAACCGTTTAAGATAGATACTATATTTTACCTTTTTCTCTGCTCAAAATATCAAATGGCTCCCCATTTCTGCCAGAAGAGTCAAAGCCAAATGGTTCATCATTTTAGCCAAAGTCAAAGGCAATTTTTTTGTAACTGAGGCCTGAAAGACTATGTTTGAGTTTCTCTGATTTCCTATCTCCTTGCTCTTGCTACTCTGCCTCCTGTCATATTTCCTTTGCTCATCGCTGGACACATAGGAATATGCCTATCTAAAGAACTTATTCATTTAATTCAAATCCTTGATCAGAATCAGTGTCGACCCTTGCCTTGATTGCCTTATTTAAGATTTTACTGACTCTATGCCCATAGTATCATATTGTTCTCACTCCATTTATTTTTTGTATATTGCTTTAATCTTCTAAAATTCAAATACAGTTTACCTAAGCATTGCTAAAATTGCTATTTTCTTCCTAGAACATTAGCTTCATAAGGCAGTTATTATTGTTTATTTGTTCACCACTCAATTCTAGGTAAATAAAATCAGGACTGACACATAACAGGTGGTCAGCAAACATGACCCAAGGTATCATAACTCGATTCATAACAAGATCTGATTGAGTTATAAATCAGTGTCTAGAGATTTACCTTAGATTGCTCTCTGGAATGTGTTGCTGTTCCTCACTACAAAAGCAGTTCAAAACTTAGACTCTTGCCAACTTTTTAAGAATACTATCAGGGTTTGCCAAAAGATATTATACTGAGGTATAAGGGAAAAAAATTGTACATTAATTTTAGTTATTCCTAATCCTGTTTTTCACCTGCTCAAATCATAACTCCAGAGAAAAGTAAGAGATTCACATGAAACAGTTGGGGAGAAGGCAGAGAGAACTCTCTAGCTAATAATCCAGGAACTTGAGTTTGATGAGAAGAAGTTTTATTAAAATTATTTTTTCATATTTTATATTGTATTTTCTTTAATCAGGGGTTCCTTGGGGACCCCAGCCCTGATCAGCGCTATTGTCCACCTGGCATGAGAACGTCACAGTTCTCCAGAGGTGAAGGCACACACTGCAGCAGAAGAGACTTGAGTCCATCAACGTGAGGAACCCTTAGGGGCCACTCTGCACAGCTCTGCATGTTCCAGACAAGGCTGTCAGAAAATTTTAACAGTACCTTTAAACTGCGAAAATTAAGCCTTCCAACTACAATAATGACAATGAAAATAATAAACATTTCATTTTTTTCCTCCAAAGTCTAAATAAAATTAGGATACAAGTTCCAAAGCATCATTATGTTAATGTGAGATCCTGCCTTTTCCTAAGTTTGAAGTTTCCATTTAATGCATGGGAACACATTTTAATACTTTGTAGTGACATCGTTCATGCTGATGGATCATAGTAGCACTGTTGTTTTTTCCATAAATTCATCGTTCTGGGAATTGAATAATGCAAGAAACGTAATGGACCTTATGGTGGAAGCATTTTTACTGCAAAAAGACTAGGTCTTGGAGGACATAATGTGCTTGATTACTTCTCACTTCCTTCTCAAAGTCACTAATTAAGCTTTTACTTAAAGGATCAGGAAATAACAGAAGAGTATTGAATGCCATTCAAACTCTTTCATCTGTGGAAATTTAAGATGTTTCTACCGATAGCAATTCATTAACCCTGTGATAATTGAAATAACAATCCAATTTAGTGTATAGTCAGAAAGACCCATAAAAGTGAGATAATACTTGAGCCAAGGTTACCTTATAAAAGTACTCAGTTGGGGGAAGAATGTATAGAGGAAGAGAGGACCCTCTGGTGAGCATCATTCCTCTGCTCTGAAAAGAAAAGTACCAAGAATAAGTGGCCATATCAGACCCTTGATGACAGTGACCTTGCAAAAAAAGATTTTCATTCTTGCCACTATGAAGCGCCTTTTTTCATTTCAAGCATAAGCTCAGATAGAGAAGAGAGCACCAAATGAAGGGTGTTGTGAGGACCCTCCCAGGGTGGGAGAAGCATGCTAAAAGTAGTCTATAGACCAAACATGATTGCCACTCAATGCCTCTCTTGCAAAACACAGTACCCAAAAGAAGAGAGAGAGAACAAGGGGGAATACCCTGCCACAGAGGCAGGATGGGACGGGGGGGATGGGGGGTGGGAGGGGATGCTGGGACCCGTGGTGATGGATGACGGGCACTGGTGGAGGGATGGGCACTTGATCATTGTATAACTGAAACCCAAGCACAAAATTTGTAAGCTTATAACTGTACCTCATGGTGTTTCACTAATAAAAAAAGAAAAAAAATAGTCTTTTACAGAAATTTAAAAAAAAAATCATCAGTGAAGATTAGTGCATATCTAGGGACTGGAAAGATAGCCCAGAGCTTAAGGTTCCTGCCTTGGACTGTGACCAATGTGGGTTAAATCCATGGCACCACATATGGTTCCCAAAGACCCTCTAAAACTGATCCCTGTATACAAAGCCAACAATAAGCCCTGGGTACCACTGGGTGTGCTTCCTCTCCCAAAAAATAGTAAATTGCATTTATATGGTTTCTGTGTGTAGTTCAGTAGCAGAGCATAAACTGCACATGTGTGAGAATTGTTGGTCAAATCTTACATTTCAGCTACCTTCTAGAACTTCATCATAAACAAAGGAAAGTACAGACTTTAATCTTTTTTAAAAGAACAAGTTTGGGAGATCCAGAGTGATAGTACAGTGGATAAGGTCTTTCCCTGCACATGGCTGGCCTGCGTTTGATCTCCCGGGGCTCCATGTGGCTTCCTGGGCAAGCCAGAAGTTATCCTTGAACACAAAGGGAAGTAAGCCCTAAAAGCAATGCTGGATGTGGCTCAGAAACAAAATAAACAAAACACAGGTTTGAGACCTAGATATAGCTTAGCAGTAGATCATTTGTCGTGTGTGTAGGATCAATCCCTGGCACCACAAAAAAAAAAAATGACAGCAATGAAAAAAAACAAAACAACAAATCAAAACACTAGGTTTGGGTGATGTGTACCTGTAAGAAAATAATAGAAAACAAACAAACAAAAGAAGATAGCCAAAAGTTTGGTAATGCCTTGATAAAAGTCAGAAGCCAGTGAAAGAAAAATCAAGGATTTACATGGTAATTACAAAAATTTGAAATTTTTGACTCATCTATAGACTCAACTCAAATATAGACTCAACTTGCATTGTTGAGTCTTGTGATCATAGATTAGATAAGTAGACAATAGAGAAAGAGCATTCTTTGAGAAGAATGCAAAGTATACATGTAAAAGGAAGCTGTGAATTTAGAAAAATTGTCATTTTTAAATCACTGTAAAATTTTAATAAATCAACCTAAAACAAGAATCATCAATTGTTGATAAATCTAGAGGTTTAAGTTGCCAAGGGCAGGAAATTTAATGGTATGAGTATACTTTAGATTTCTTATTAGTTATAAATAGAAAAGCAGTACTTGCTCAACAGAGAAGCCAGAAAACAGTATTATTTGGCAATCACAATTATCATCAAAGAGAGGTAGATGGACATCTTAGACCTTACATGTTTTATAGCTTTCTGTGTAGTGTTCTGTCTAGGATTTATATTCTGAGTCTTAGCATAAAATATATTCAGTAAACCTTGTAGCATTTAAAATCTCTTGGAAAGGGACTAGAGAATACAGTGGGTGAGGCATTTGCCTCGCATAGGG